AATTTTAACAAAAAAAGACCACAATGGGACGGAATCAAAGTAATAGACATAATATAAAAAGATGAAGAAGAGCCTCTGTTTTACTTTACTTTGCTACTCCAAATCAGAGCAAAGGGTTTTTTAATAATCAAAGATAACAAATTTTTTCTCACTCTTCAACACAGTTAAAAAGACAACCACAATGTCACCACAATCAACTATCAGAGGCATCGTCGGAAACTCACACTTGGTCTCCGCAATGACTACTCAGACTTTCAGCATAACAAAGGTGGGTCTACCCTATCAAACCCTCCAATCCTTTTTGTTTTCAAATCCTTTCTGGTGTTCCCTGCTATGCGTTTTATGTTTTACCTTTATTTTGTTTTTTTTAAATATTTACATGTCAAAGCACAACCAGCATTTTTTCCACATCACCTTGTCTAGTCATCAGGCCATATAAGCAAAATAACACTGTTAGTGACACTCAGTATTTTTAACACCTTTATTTTGGGGTTCAGGTCCTTCTTAAACTATAGGGAGAGCGTGTTGAGACAGGAGAAAATTACAGGGACCAAAACCTATGGTTTCAAATTATAAGAACCAAAACCAAAATGAGATGAAACTATAGGGATCAAAGATTATATTAACTTATATTTTTTTCTCCTAAGTTTATCATTTTTTTCTCAACTATTCATATTAATGTATATGTTAAAAAGTTTCTATTATCATCTAATTTAGACAAATTAACACACACTTTAAATAATTATAACTGATTTAATTAATTTTTAATCTTTACAAATTAATTATATAATTCCTAAGCCAGTGTTGGCCATATATATACATATATATCATATTCTAATATGACAACTCATCGATTGGGATGCGGGAATTTAATTCGCACTGGAGTATGGTGGCGTGAGACCGCTAATTTTCTTATGTCCAAAAGGGGTCCACTGTTGTGTGCCTATATAATAAAAATGCACAAATGAGCTCGGCGACGATTCAATTATTTTCGTTTTTCTTCTTGTTTTCAATTTGCAGTTTCAGTTCCCGATTTCATTACCGACGCATAGTCGAAAAGAAGGAAGCTTTGAATTTGAAGAGTTTAGGGAGAGGGGGAGAGAGATATGAAGATCACAGCTTTGTTGGTGCTTAAGTGCATCCCTGATGGATCCGATCCGGTGATACTTGCGAATGCGTCCAATGTAAGCCACTTCGGCTACTTCCAACGTTCCAGCGTCAAGGAGTTTATCGTCTTCGTCGGTCGCACCGTCGCCAAGCGCACCACCCAGGGACAGCGCCAAACCGTCCAGCACGAAGGTGCGTTTTATTCGTTCCTTTCTATAGGGTTTCTGGGTCTCGATTCAGTTGTCTCTTTGTCGACCCTGAGTTATGAATTTTGAATCGCTTTCCCTATGCACCGTTTAGCCTAGCGTTTCCCAATTTTATTTCCGATCAATTGGTTGATTTGGGTCGGAATCTTTAAGACAAAGTCTGCTTGTTCGTTTGGATTTTTTTTTACCTCTTTTATTAATGAATTATGGATGGAGATATCTGTACCCACCATGATTGTCACTGGGAGAATATATGTACTTCGAAGTCGGATTTGGTGGTTTTAATTCAAGTGCACTCGATGCCAGTTATGAGACAAGCGTATACTTGGTTCTATCTTTCTTTCGTTTTCTTCTATTTGTGGGTGGGTATAAACAATAAAATTGATAAAAAGCATCGGTTCCACGGACTAATATGAATCCATCTTTTGGTATGGGTAATTTTTATGTTTACCCTTTAATGCAATAACTTGACCTTGCGTACTCTTTAAGTTCTTTGTCAATTCGATATTACATCTGAGTGGAGATTTGATGGGATTATTGTTTTAATCTTAATGAAATGGTTGAGTTGGTTTACACTCTGAAGCATGATCTCATGGTATCTATTTGCTTTCTTTTATCAATTATAGAGTACAAGGTGCATGCTCACAACAGAAATGGCCTTTGTGCATTGGGCTTTATGGATGATCACTATCCCATACGAAGTGCATTTTCTCTTCTCAATCAGGTGAGTGCAATAACTTTCTTCCTTAATATTTTATTTGCAACACATCCTGTTTCCACGAGCAGTCTCTTGCTTTAACATATTTTAACTCTTCTATTGGTTCTCATGAAGGGATCAGTTTTTATTGTTACTTTAACGCGAGCAGCTTTTTCTCTGTTGTTTCATCTCTATATATGTCCCTAGTGTCCTGAAATGTTAACGTTGACATATGGAAAATTGGTTCTCACGAAGGGATTGAAAATTTGGTTTTAGAAAATAAACCTGTGGTGATGTTTTCCTTTTAAGTTGCTTTTATCTGTCACATTTCTGATCACCAAAGTATTGTTAAGTACAACATTGTTCACGTTCATTTCTTGTTCAGTTCTGTATGATATCATTCCGTGTTTGATTTATATCTATTTATTTTGGGTTCAAGGTTAACCTGCTAACTTATTGACCCTCTAGAATAGAGTAGGACTGCATTTTAGGTTTTAATGGTTGGATCTGTGGGGTCTGAGATTTTACGTTTGCCTGAAAAGGAGGGGCTTCTCGCAACTAAGCTGAATTAAAATAATCAAAGAATTACAGACTAAGAGGGTTTTAGTGCATGGTCAAACTTGTGCTATTGAAGATTTTCCTGATTCCCTGAGGAAGTTCAACGATCTTAATATTATTTGTGAGAGAGATGAGCAAAGAATTTAACAATTTAACTGACAGATGGTGAGAAACAAAACGTGGGAGAATAAGGTGGTAACCTAGGGTATATGGGTAAAATGAAATGCTCACCCTACTTGCAAATAAGGAACTTAAAACTGCTGCATTTCTTGGACAAGTCAGCATGCCCACAATGGTCTTCTTTCAGGAACCATATATCATGAATTTGAAACTACGGGAACATAATTCTTTTACACTATTGGGACTGTTTTAGAAATTGCATGAAATTATGGTACTAAATGAGTAATTAATCCTTGTTACCCAAAAAAAAGAGTAATTACGCGTAACTTTTTTTAATTAATTTGCAGAGTGATGATTAAAGCTGTTTCAGCCAGAGCTCTTCATGATATCCTTGCAAATTGCCCTTCCTTTACACATACACCTAATTTTTGTTGATGATTTTGTTTCTTCCCGTTTGTTGTCCGTTCAAAATGAAAAGTATTGTCCCTCTGTTGTGCTAGCGGATCTGCTAAATGGTTGATTGCTCAAAGCCCTTTGTTCCAAATGATTTCAATGAGAAAGGATAATGATTGTCGTAAGTGAATGAACCAATTAAATTGTTGGTAACTAGGAATAATTGTAGTTTGTAGAAATTGAAAGTGGAATAAACGAGAAACATTGTCAAATTAAATTTGCTGTCATGATGTATCTTATGCATCTGGTTCTTAAAATGGCCTTATTTAATACATCTTAATGAATATGGTGTTTTTTACAGCTGCTCGATGAATATGAAAAGCTTTTGGTAATTCATGGAGAACTGCTCAGGCGGATGGTACTCAATCATGGCCCTATTTGGAGCAAGCTCTGACAAGATTCCAGGTACTTCTATACGTTCAAGCTGAACCAGCTTCAGCTAAGAATGTCCCATTGGAGTGTGTTGAATTATACAATATTCTGAACTCTACCAATAAAGTTTTCTTTTCGTTTTCCTGTTCATATGGTTACTTTTGACTCATTTATGTCATTTTCCCTGCTATTTACAAATCCTCAGGACCCTGCAGAGGCGGTGATAATGTTGAAAATCCAGAGGGAACTGGATGAAACAAAAATCATCCTGGTAAGTGTTAGATTTAAATATGGATCACTGTGTTATAAACTTCCTTTGCAGTTGGACATTCTTCTTCTCTTGTAGTTGTCCAACAGCCATTTTATATGGATAGTAGCTTTCTGTGAAAAACCTTTTAAAGTTGTTTGGGGTTTTGGAATTTGTTTAACAATACATATGATGATCACTGCATGGTCATGCGATTCAAGCATCACATGGTCATAAATGAATATGAATTACTATTGTAATGCGTATCCTTGAGTGATATCTTATCATAGAATTTTTAATGATTGTTCTTTTGCTATTATGTTTTGGAATTTGTATTTATGCTTATTAATGTGCCTTTGAACGGCAATGTTAAAATTAATTTGTTGTCTTGACCTACCCATGCTATATGGGGATTTGTAGGCTTTTGTTACTTCCTTCCTTGCTCTTAATTGTTGCATTGCTTTTATATGCTCTATGTATCTTTAGGAGCAGATGTCAATGCTGGCAGTTGTTTCCTTTTGCCTTTATTTCTATTTCTCATTTTGTTATTCCACTTTTGTTCATACAACAGCATAAGACTATTGATAGCGTTCTCGCACGTGGGGAGAGGTTGGACAGTTTAGTTGAGAAGAGTTCTGATCTGAGTGCAGCGTCACAGGTACATTACAACTTCTGTTTTATGGTTACGCATTTGGGAATATCACATTAGTGCCTATGCCAATTATGTGTGGCTCATCCTTTATTTTTCCTTTCACCAAAGCTTTGGTTAACTGTTATTATCCTTATTTAACATGCTTTTATGTCTCCTTTTACCAAGCCTCTGGTTAACGGTCTATTATCTTTACTTTTGTGGGGAACAGATTCCATTTCAGTTGCCAATATCTTGTATTGCCATTTAAGCTTAAAATACGTATATAGGATTACTACACGGGGAACATATTCTATTTCAGTTGTCAATATCTTGTATTGGGATTGAAGTTTTTGTAATAGGCTGTTCTTTTGCACTTTAGTTTTCATTATTTCCTGAGGCCAGTTCTTCTCTATGTACGTGTTAATAGTCATTTCTCATCTTTTCCTGGGCTGCCATGTTGTTGTCATTTCTATATGCTAATGCAAACTGGTGACTGTTTTGAGGGCCATATCATGCATCTTTACTGGAAAATCTTTCCTAATCAATGATAAATATATAGCCTTATGCGCCAACAAGTTATTTTGCTGACACAAGTGCCTTGTGCTGTTGTCTGAAACGATGTTCTACAAGCAGGCGAAGAAAACCAACTCGTGTTGTACTATATTATAAGCTTCATATTATAAGAGTTTTCAAGGCTTAGTACCCTGTAAGAGAGTAATTCTTCTCACCTAGTTACCTGTTACGATGTAAGGCCCCTGCGCAGAAGAAAGTGGCATGTGTCTATATCACTACGTTGTTTGGTTTGGTGAGTGTGGATTTTCCCTGTATGCTGTATTGCTGGAGGGAGCAGAATATTAGTCGTGTGAAATGTGATTCTTCTTGACAAATTAACATTCATATTTACTTCCTTGTGATTCTTCCTATGATAATACATGGTATATATAAGTTCTCGCATCTATCAAAGCAATCTACTTGGAGATCTTCACCTGCACTACACTCAATTGTCATGGGCCTTTTCGAGATTATTTTCATGGTATTTTCCTGCATGTTTCTTTTAGTGGCTATGCTGATTTTGTTTCAATTAGTGGTATATAGCTGCGTTGATTGAAGCTTTTTGGCAAGATTCCTGCCTACGATTCATGTTTTAAAGCTTTAAAACAAGGAACAATTATTAGATCCTGGGAGAAGGCTTTCTGTTTGGGACAGAAAAACAAGTTATATTTAACAAATTAATACTTAATATATGGGAAATATGGTTTATGGTCCCTAGGATTATGGTGTTCACATAATTTTTTCATTAAGAAATTACTCCTCTGGATCTAAATATAAAATCTTTATACACACCAGTATAAGAGTTTTATATTTAAGACCGAAGGAGTAGTCTTTGTAGTTATGGTCAACTTTTGGTTAAAAATATCTTAGAGATGATTTGACATTGATACAGCAATAAAATTGAAGATGATGTTGCAAAAATATGTGGTAACACTGAAGATTTTGACCTAATTTCAACGCCACTTTATATGTTGATTTGTTGAAATTTGACTGTAAATATGTTTTCCTTTGTCTAAAAAAGTTATATTTTTCCATTATGTATAAATAATATATCTATGGAAGATCCAGAAAACACAGTAGGGGCAGTTTTTGTTACTGCGCACTTACATAACATGTTTAATATTTTTAGTAAATGTAGGACGAGAACAAACCGCCAGGCATGTTGATGTATCTGGAATAATAGGTTGAAATATGAAAAGATTGAATCATCATCCTACCATCTCTTAAGTTTTCACTGTTATTATCCACTACCACAGCATAAATTACAACTAGAAAGCGATCTGAGTGTAGTTTTAATTTTTAAATACCTCAAGATAGATAGATCAACACAATGCACTATTTTTGTTTTTCTTAACCGAATATGCATATAATACTTGGAACTTACACCACATATAAATATACAGAACAATCCAATAGAGACACCAAGAAGATCCAAATTTACTACATCCGGGTTCTTAATTCCTTTCTTATTACATGAAATTGAAACACACTTTCAAGCTCATTGAACCTATCTTCCCAGTAAGGATTTGAACCACCAAATGCCTTTGGTGTCTTGGGGTCCCTCTTCCTCTGGTGGAGGATCACTCTGTGGTGTCTTGTGGAGTTTGCTAACATCATATTCCCAATTCTTTGCCTTCTCAACAAGCTCATTGTATATCTCATCATCCAAATGGGTCTTCCTGCATAATACCTGAGGGCAAATACACACACACACACACACACACGTATATATATGTGTTATGGTCAGATATGCACAGAGCCATTGGCAAACGACACAGCTTTTCTAAAGAACAAATATAAAAATCCAGAGCTCCCCAGCCCTTCGATTCTATCCTCAGCGAATCAGCAATAATCTAGCATTTGTTTAGTATATTTTCTCCAAGAACTTCCTGTATTGAACATGTTTTAATCCTTGAATTCATTTTTAAATTCATTTAATATTGAGGTGGTCAAGACCTCGAAAGAAGTATAACTCTGTAGAATTTCCTCATACATAGAATTCATACAAACCTTTAAGCAGATAAAGCAATGAGTTCAGATAATGTAGCCATAATAAGGGCTTCCATTTTCAGTTTTTAATCACACGGAACTGGAAATAATCAAAACCCCAACAGAGAAATTAGCTTACCCAAATGTAATTCCTACTGGGCTGACCGACGACAGCGTGCTGATAATCATCATCAATGTACAAAAGCCAGTAATCTCCGACGACAGGAAAGAGGGGCAAAAACGGAGGGACGTAGAATTTGACCTTGAGCTTAGCCTCATCGCTATTAGGATCAGCCTTGTAAGCGATTCCCTCAATGTAGCTTCTTTTGCCGGCGCTCCAAGTCTCATTGAGCACATTCACAGTGCCGTCGTCCCTGAGAGAGTAGGTGGCTCTGGTATTGACTCCGTCCCTGGGCTGAAACCTAGAAGGGAAACACGCTATCTCGTACCATCGCCCCATGTATCTCTTCAGGTCCAAATTCTTCACCGCTTCCATCTCTTTGCCCGTCATTGTTGGGGTTTTGCCTTCTCTCTATGCCCAACAGAGAAATTGTGGGGTTTTAGCGTAAAGGAGTTTGATGAATTACGGCTCTCTCTGGTGGTTTTTACAGCGTTAAAAGGCGAACGATGAGTACGGATTCGGTTCTATCCCATCAGACACGAGAGAGTTAATACAGAGGATTCTCTTCTTTTTCTGCTTTTTCTCCTTTACTTTTTCCATGTTACTCTCTCTTTTTCCTTCCTTCTTTTTTGGGAAAATTTCGATTAAGGATTATAGTTGAGAATTTATTTCAAATACAGTTCAAAATATTCTGAAATATCAGTGCAAAACTAAAAGATCAAATTGAAATTAAAATTAAAAGTAAGATTACAATAATACCTTTTATTTTTATTTTTTACAAAATAAATATTAATAGTTGCCAGAGTTGCGGCTACTGGAGATCGGAGGTCCGGCCACCAGTGCTCAAGTGGTCGCGACCGAAAGTTGGAGCTCCGGTGGCCATTATTGTAGCTATGGTGGTCATAAGATTTTTTTCAAATAAGGTGACCAAGGAAAAGTTTGAACCTATGACCTCTTGGCATACCAAAAATAATATAACCACCAAGCCAATCAAACCACTTAATCACGTGATGCAAATAAAAATATATATAACAAAACAAAAGCAAGTGTTTAAGTGTAAGTGAACAAGTGAAATTCGATAATTTACAAGTGAAATTCAGCAATTTACAACAAAAATTTGGCGATTTACAAATAACATAATGAAATTTACAACCCCAAATACAAGTGTTTAAGTGTAAATGAACAAGTAAAATTTGAAGATTTACAACAAAAGTTCATAAATTTACAACTCAAATTCAGCTATTCACAGGAAATCTAGTATAAAATTCACAACTTAAAATATAAGTGTTTAAGTGTAAATGAAGAAGTGAAATTTAGCGATTTACAACAACAATTAAGATATTTACAACCCAAATTCAACGATCCATAAGAAACATGAATACTTATATTTGAAGTTGTGAATTATCTTATTAGTTTTGTAATGTTCATGTTTCTTATGAATAACTGAATTTAGGTTGTAAATAGTTAAATTTCCCTTATTCTTTTACACTCAAACACTTATATTTTGGATTGTGAATTTTATGCTAGGTTTCTTGTGAATAGCCGAATTTGGATTATAGATTCATGAACTTTTGTTGTAAATTTTTAAATTCACTTGCTCATTTACACTTAAACACTTGTATTTAGGGTTGTAAATTTCATTATGTTATTTGTAAATCGTCAAATTTTTGTTATAAATTGCTGAATTTCACTTATAAATTATCAAATTTCACTTGTTCACTTACACTTTAAGACTCGCATGCAATGATATTTCAGAATGTTTTGGGGTTGTTTAAAATAAATTCTCAACTGCGGTCTTTAATCAAAATTTCCCTTCTTTTTTTCTTTTTAACTTCATCATTATATTGAAATTTAACAATTCAAATTTGCCACTGAGGGGGTGTTAGCTGAATCAGACCAAGCTAACATAGCCTGATATCCAAGGTTTAAGTTCAGGTAAGGCCACTCATTCTCAACTCATCAATGGGCCACGTTAGAACTCTCAGCTTTGAATATCATATCTAGAATAACTGGAAAGATTGTCACTAAACACTCCTTTATGGATCGTGGTCAGATTCTATTTTCTGATGCACAGGATCTTCTTAAAGAGGCAAGTGCAGAGTATACTTAGAATCTCTGGCAACAGAAGAAAGACATTATAAGTGAGGCTTTCAGAAGAAGAGAGAAATTTAGAGAGAACTTATAAGGAAAGCACACTAGTATTATACAAGGAAGTCGATACAACCCCTTCTGCCCATAATTGATGGCAAAGTGGGGTTTATATAGAGGCTCAGGGTCACCACATGATAAAGTCCTAATAGTACACATCATTATGACATGTAGATGTAATAGTAGATGTCATTATGACTTGACATTTAATACCCACAACTACCAACTACTCTCATAATGATACCTAATAATAACAACCACTCCATTTATTACAAGAGGACGAAATAAACTACAGGACAAATTACTTTAATAAAATAAAAGTAGATGGCGACATAAAGTAGGAATCTGGCGGGTCCCACTTTATCTTCAGAGTATCCTAAAAGGAGATTTTCTAATGATGATGTTCCCTAGTCTTTATAGATAGGGGATAGGTTCATGATGCCTTCTGGGTTAGGGTCATCTGAGTCATAGTGTCTCCTTTTATAGTAGTAGTCTTCGAGCTCTGGATCATGGTCATTTTGGTTAGGATCTTGGGATTCTCCTGCAAGGAATGAGAGTTGTGACTGGAAACTTGGCTGAGGGAGACAGAGTCCTTCAGGCTGAGTGAGTTGAATTTGTGAGTCTTCGTCATAAGAGTCTTCAGAGGCTTTTGTCTGTGGAGGGACCTGTGACCTGTTTAGTGGAGGTCTGACAGCACTCATGATGAAATCTCTCTGGAATTCTTCAAGTGTTGTGCTGCTGGCTGACAGTGAGCTTGGAGGGAAAGGTCCAAGAGATAGACATGAAGTGTCTTCTCCTGTGTCAGGCTGGTTAAGTGCAGTTAATGTCTTCCCAATTTTTTCTATTAATAATACTTCCTTTCTTGGCTATGAGGGGGTGGTGACTTGAAGGATCAGACGGTTGTCTGTGTAAAGCCTTTGGTCAACACTTATACCATAGTTCCTGAAAAAGGTATACAGACAGAAAAATCTTTTTTGTTTGAGAGTTGGTAAGTCCCAGATATTATGTTTCTTGAGAATTTTCCAAAGTTTTCCTCTCCAGTAGGGAAGAGGAGCAAGCATCTCAAAGAGTGTGGTAAGAGGAGAATTTTCATTACTAAAATCATTCAGGTGATCATGGACGACTATAGTTGAGAAGGCTATGACACAGGTATAATTGGCTGAGACAGACCAGATGTACCATAAAAGTTTCTCTAGTATGGGTCCTTTGATGATGGGACCAGTGAGGTAAGGAGCATCGGCATCAAAGTACTGAGGGTAAAGGTGAATTCGAGTATCTACAAAAACACGGTGGAGCCAATAGAACATAGTGCTTCTGGCAAGGTTCTGGACATCTGCTCGAGATTCAGGACGGGATCTAGGAGGGAAAATGGTGGCTCTCATTCTGTGAGGCATTTCTGGTTCAGAGATGGTTAGGCTGAAAAGAGGTTGATGTCTAGAGAGTGACAGGAGTTTCAGAGGCTGGGAAACTTTCTGAGGTTGACAAACTCAATTATTTTTATATATTTTGATATCTTTTATATGGGTTTTGTCAACTTAATTAGTCCTTTTTGACCTTAATTGATTGATTAATTGATTTAATATGTTTTATTTTGAATTATTATTTTATAGGGGCAAAATTGTCATATTTTGGTTTAATTGTAACTAATTGATTTTTGAGGACAATTAATGCTACCTTATCTTTAAATTTTTGCTTGCAGGTTTTTGGAAGATTTTGAAAATAAAAAAAATAAAAAAAAAAGAGAAAAGAAAAAAATAAATTAAAAAAATAAAATAAAATAATAAAAGGGGGGTGTGTTTTGCTCCACCCCTAATATTATTACGGGAAAACCATATTGAAGGTACCTATACTTTCTCTCAATTTTTAATTTGGTACCTATGTGTTTTTTTCTCTTTAATTAAACATTTAATTTTATCTTTTTAGCAACATTAGCTCTTATAACTTTGTTCTATTGATATTTTTAGTCTCTACATAAGGATTAATGATGTTAATAGAGGAAAAATAAAGATTTAGTTAAGAACAAAAAACACATAGGTACCAAATTAAAAATTGAAAAAAAGTATAGGTACCTCCAATATGGTTTTTCCTATTATTACAATCATCATCTTCAATTTGGCGGAAGCTGAACACGAAACGCACACACACACGTTAGGAGGCGCGGCTGGAGAAAAACAGGGGAGGCGCGCAAAACCGAACGAGCTGGCAGAGGAGAAGCACAAGGAGCAAAGCATGGAGAGAAAACAAAAAATAGAGAGCGACAACAACGGAGCGTGAGCAACTAGAGGAGGACCAGTGAGCGACGGCGCCTTCACCTTCTTCTTCTCCTGGGCACGAACAGCGACAGCAGAGGGGGAGGAAGGGATTCAGCGTGAACAGTGTTCTTCCATGGGATCCTGTAGCAAAATTCTAAATATGGCATTTCTCATGGCAAACTGTGGCTAAGATCCTCTAATTCTCCAATTCAACAATAATGGCAGGAGCTTGGATCATCAAAGGGGAGTTTTAGTTGCTTTAATTTCTTACTCAATAATTGTTTAACAATTCCTAGGTTTTAGGATAGTTTTTCTGATCGTTGGGATAATTATATTGCTTAATCTGATTATATTTGGAGATTATTGTGACTGGATTATTGCTTAGCATTTGACATTGAGCTGTTTATAACTTTAATTTCAATTATAATGTTGTGGTTATGACATTTGTATTGATTTTGGAGTTAATATATTGTGATTTTCTGAAGTGGCTTAGAATTTTGAATCATATTGTCTCTTGCTAGCTTTAATTCTGTTATTTTGGATTTAAGAGTTCTAATTAAGCATTGATTTTTAGTATCCTTAATCCCATTTTACTATTCTGGTTGCAATTAGTAAGTTGGGATTTTAGAAAAATATTTTGTGGCAACTCGAGGTGGCTCGGTTGTTAGATTACAAGCTTAATTATAATTCTTAATTCATTGTTTTAATTCCTACATCTTTTAAAGTGATGATTGCCTATGTTGTTGAATTGGAGGATTGATTATTATCATTGTTATTTGTGTGTTTCATTTTCAGTTCTTTATCTTCAATTTATTTCAATCATTTTTATATAAAAATAACAAACAAACAAAAAGTATTTTAATTTCAATTTAATTCAAGGCATTTAGTTAGCAATTTTTCAAAAATCAAAAATTCTTTTTATAGTTTAGGTTACTTGCATTTATTTACTAAGATTTAATTTCATTTTCGGCTCCTTAAAGTGAATACGACCTGGATTGTGCACTATATTGCATTAATTCGGTTAATTTTTGGAGTAACCCCAAAGCGACAATTAAGGGCAAGTTAACTTCAGAGGTCTTGTGAGGAAATTTGCTATGATATTCTGGTGACCTTTGAGATGATGGACAGTGAATTTATAGCAAGAGAACCAGTCTTTCCATCGGAGTAACTGGCTGTCTGGCAAATTCTTTCCCTTGAGATTAAGCATTCTGGGAAAAGACGTATTGTCCATTTCTACTCTGAATTGATAAGGACTGAGATGGAAACTGAACTTCTCGATTTCTCTTTTAACTGCAAGGATCTCCTTGTAGGTAGCATGATAATACTTTTCTAACTCCTTGAATTGTCCACTTGCATGTCCACAGTAAAATCTCTTTCCATCTATCTCTTCAATTAAGACAGCTCCCTAAAAGTCATCACTGGCATCAGTCTGGAGGATTTGTAGCCCTTTGTCAGGAATCTTTAAAGGAGGTGGTTGTTATGCAATTCTTTTGAGGGTCTTGACAGCTGAGGTCTGCTTTGTCCCCCATGCGGGAGGATTCTTTTTGAGAAGTTTGGACAGCTCACTGGTATGATTTGACACATGAGGGATAAAATCTCGAAGATAATTAATAATCCTCAAAAATTGTTGGATTTACCTTGTTGTCAGATTATCGTCTAGGAATTTGAGCAATTCTTCTGCAATATATGGTCCAGGATAATACTGGCCATGTTCAAAATGCATTCCAAGAAACTCTATACTTTTGACACCTATTTCTCCTTTCTTTGCTGACAACATAATCCCATATTTTTCAATTATTTCCCCAAACTGGGTCAATAAAAGTTTATGGGAATCCTTATCTTTTGAGAAAAGTAAAAGGTCATCAATGTAAATGAGAAGGTTATCAAGCATAGGCTCAAAGATTCTGGTCATGGCTTTTTGGAACAGTGATGGGGCGACTTTAAGCCCAAATGGCATAACAGTCCATTGGTCTAGGCATTTGGAATACAGAAATCAGTCTTGGCTCGATCTTCTGGGTGGATACCCAATTGCCAAAATCCTGCTTTGAGGTCAAACTTAGAAAATATTTTTGCATCTCTAAGATGGACTGTAAGTGAATTGGGCTTTGGTAAAGGGAATTTGTCATCTTGAAGGAAAATATTAAGAGGCTTATATTTTCTTCCCTCTTTTGATTTCTGACCTTTTTTCAACATAAAATGCTTGGCAAGCCCAATTAGAATTTGTTGGTTCAATAAGGCCTTACTTGAGTAGGGCGACACATTCTTCTTTGGCGAGCTTGAGATCTTCTGGATTCATTCCTAGATGAGAGGTTTTTGTAGGACTGATATCTTCATTTTTCTTAAAGGGGAGTTGTGGTAATTATGAAGATATGATACCTCAATAATATTATTATTACTGATATAGTGATATTCGAATATTATTGCTAGAGATATTATTATTATCATTGGGATCATATCAGATTTGATTTAATTGTATTTATTAAAGATTTGATTGTATAGCTCATATCTTGGTGTATCTCATGCGATGTCCAAGACCAGTGTATATATTGGTGCATATACCTCAGTAACAGATCATCGAACTGTTCAAATCAGCCTTGCTCTACATGGTATCAGAGCGGCAGGCATTCTTCCACTAAGTTCGAGCCTCTGTTCACGTCATAACCTCCAGCGACTTCGTCTATGTCGCTCTCCGGTGCCGACGACACTAAGGCCGGGGCTCCCTACGGGTTGAGTTCTGGCCAGGAAGGTTCTGCTGGTGTTCCCGCATCGATCGTCTCCGACAAACTGAGCCTCACAAATTATCATGATTGGGCTCAACCGATTAAACACGCTGTTGGAGGCAGAGGGAAACTTGGTTATATTACCGGTGATACAGTGAAACCCAAAGATCCGAAATCTCCTGAGATGAATCAATGGACTATCGACAACCATCTTGTATCTTCGTGGTTGATCAACTCCATGTCTCCCAACATCAAACGGAGCTTCATGTACCTACCGACGGCCAAGGACATATGGGACGCAGTTCGAAACTCATATTCGGTAAGCAAAGACCATTCACGCTTGTTCAATATTCAACGAAGAACGTGGCGCTGTGTACAAGGGGCGAGGACGGTGCATGAGTATTGGCTGGAACTTGTGGCTTTATGGCAGGAACTGGACTTGCTCAATGATGATAAATGGGAGACCCCTGCCGACGTTGCACTCAATCAAAAGAACACTGACAAAGGTCGTCTCCTTCTCTTTCTTGCTGGATTAAATGAGGAGTTTGATGCTGCCCGTGAAAGAATTCTTGGCACTACCACCTTGCCATCACTGCAAGAAGCATATTATGAGGTACGAAGAGAGGAATCTAGACGAGAAACTATGCCTACTGATTCAAAACTTTCTACTCCACCCTCCGCTGCCTTTGTTAGCAAACCTATTGATTCCAGCTCTTCAAGTACGCCAAAACCTACTTGTGAACACTGCAAAAAGGTAGGACATACCCGTAACAAGTGTTGGGATATTCATGGAAAGCCTGTAGATTGGAAGCCACGAAAGAATAAGCCTCGTGCAAATCAGGTATCACAAGAATCTGATTCAAATTCTAATCCCTCGACTGATTCACCCGCTTTGTTTAGCAAGGATCAAATGAATCAAATAGTCCAAGTCTTCAGAACTCTCCAAGCCGAACAGAAACCTGTTGGGGCTGCATCTATGGCCCACAAAGGTATACCACATGTTGCTTTAAATACCTCACTTCTTCCTTCAAAGTGGATTGTTGATACAGGAGCATCCGATCATATGACTTCGAATGCAAAAATGTTTGTGACTTATCATCCATTGGCGGGGAATAAGAAAATAACTACGGCCACGGGCACCCTTCCTTATAGCAGGAATCGGTTCTGTTACTTTATCTGATTCTTTGCACCTTGACTCTGTGTTACATGTTCCCCATTTGGCCTGTAATTTGCTGTCCATTAGTAAATTAACTAAACAAGCAAACTGTTCGGCTCACTTCTATTCCACTCATTGTGTTTTTCAGGATCTCGCATCGGGGAAGACGATTGGTTCTGCTGACGAATATAATGGTCTCTACTACCTAGATATGTCCACCGTGAGTGCATTATGTTCCCGGATCAGCAACTTTGTTTCAACTTCTCAAGAAGATAGTCTTTTATTATGGCATAAGAGAATGGGTCATCCTAGTCTTTCATATCTGCAACAATTGTTTCCAAATTTATCAATGAATAAAAATTCTTTTTTTTGTGAGACTTGTGTTTCTGCTAAACATCATCGTGTTCCCTTTACTTCTTCCCCGTACAAACCCTCTCATCCTTTTTCAATTATTCATAGTGATGTTTGGGGCCCTTCACGCATCTCTAACCGCACTCGGTCCAAATATTTTATCACATTCATTGATGATCATACTCGCATGTGTTGGGTCTATCTTTTAAAAGACAAAACTGAGGTTCCCAGTGTTTTCATCGACTTCTATAACTATGTTAAAACTCAGTTTAATACTTCCGTACAAGTCCTTTACACAGACAATGGCACAGAATACTTCAACCACTCCTTAAACACCTTTCTGGCTAAAAACGGGGTTGTTCACAATAGCAGTTGCCCTCATAGCCCACAGCAAAATGGAGTAGCCGAACGCAAAAATAGACACATTTTAGAAGTTGCCCGAGCCCTACTCTTTCAGTGTCATGTTCCTCTTTTTTTCTGGGGCGATGCCGTCTTAACCGCCATCCAACTCATCAATCGCCTTCCTAGTCGTGTGCTCTCGTTCACTTCCCCACTTGATGAATTACAGAAAACTCACTCGACTACTCACTTGCAGTCTACTCTTCCACTTCGAGTCTTTGGTTGTCAAGTGTTTGTTCATCGGCACCATGCCTCTTCTAAATTTGACCCTCGAGCCACCAAATGCATCTTTTTAGGCTACTCCTCATCCCAAAAAGGGTATAACTGTTTCGATCCGGTGTCCCAACGTTTGATTGTTAGTCGTGATGTTACCTTTGTCGAACATGAGCCATACTATCCTAAGCCTTCAATTCAGGTGGAGTACTGGAGTGAATTTCAGCCTATGGAGCCATCCCTTCCTGAACCTATTCCGCCATCCTTTCCTGAGTCTTCTTCTTCCTCACATGTGCCAACTGAAGCTCATAGATGGGGAAAAATGTACTCACGACGACATCACTCGAGAGATAACCATCATATCTCTGAAGAAGTTCCAATCCCTAAACCGGTGGAAGGTCCTGAAGGTGGTACAAATAATGAGAATGAGGTCAGTAGTACTGTTGATGATCTTGACCTTCCTATTGCTCTGAGAAAGCGGCCAAGGGTATGTACTAAACATCCTATTGAGAATTATGTCTCCTATGCTTCTCTATCTCCGAGTTACCATGCACTTGTGACTAATCTCGACAGTATTACCATCCCTAACAATATTCATGAAGCCTTGGCTATTCCTAAATGGAAACAAGCAGTGATGGAGGAGATGACAGCATTGCAAAAGAATGGAACTTGGGAAATAGTAGAGCTACCTAAAGGGAAGAAACCAGTGAGTTGCAAGTGGGTGTTTACTCCCAAGTACAATGCTGATAGCACTCTAAACAAGTTGAAGGCTAGACTTGTTGCTCGTGGATTCACCCAAACACATGGGATTGACTACAATGAAACATTCGCGCCTGTAGCAAAACTTAATACTATACGGGTACTACTCTCGATTGCTGTGAATTTAGATTGGCCTCTTGAACAACTTGATATTAAAAATGCTTTCCTTAATGGAGACTTGAGAGAGGAAGTGTATATGTCACTCCCACCAGGTTTTGATGAGGGAAGAAAAAATCAGGTATGTAAACTCAGAAAATCTATTTATGGCTTGAAGCAGTCTCCTCGTGCTTGGTTTGACAGGTTTTCCAGTGTTCTCAAGGCTGAAGGGTATAAGCAAAGCCTATCTGATCACACTATGTTTGTATCTAGACATGATAATCTCATCACTATTATCATTGTCTATGTGGATGATATTATTGTTACAGGGAATAATATGAAGGAAATTGATCGGATAAAAGGAGCCCTGAATAAGGAATTTGAAGTCAAAGATCTTGGAAAACTGAGATATTTCCTTGGCATGGAGGTTGCACGGTCTAAGGAGGGGATATGTGTGTCTCAACGAAAATACACACTTGATCTTCTTAAAGAAACTGGTATGCTTGGGTGTAGACCAAGCAAAGTACCCATTAGCACCATTAAAAAAGGGAAGATACCCACAAAGAATAAAGAACAGGATGCGGCCAAGAGGAAGAAGCAAGAGAGAGAAGAAGTGACAACAGATAAAGAAAGATATCAAAGGCTGGTGGGAAAACTCATTTATCTCTCCCATACTCGTCCAGACATAGGCTTTGCTGTGAGCGTTGCCAGCCAACATATGCATGATCCAAGGAAAAAGCATATGGATGCAGCCTACAAAATATTAAGGTATCTCAAGGGGACCCCAGGCCGCGGCTTATTCTTCAAAAAGAGTAACATCAGATCATTTGAGGTTTATACTGATGCTGACTGGGCAGGGTCACAAGAAGATAGCAGGTCAACTTCAGGATATTGCACATTTGTATGGGGAAACCTCGTTTCCTGGCAAAGCAAAAAGCAAAAGGTTGTTGCTAAGAGCAGTGCAGAATCAGAACTTAGAGCTTTGGCCCAAGGAATCATGGAGGGACTATGGCTAAAGAGAGTATTTGAGGAAGTTCATATAAAAATAGATGGTCCACTCAAATTATTCTGTGATAACAAGGCTGCCATAAACATGGCCTTAAACCCTGTGCAACATGGCAGAACAAAGCATGTTGAAGTTGATAGACACTTTATTCGTGAGAAAGTAGAAGAAGGGATAATTTGTCTATCCTACCTATCCACGAAGGTACAAATTGCAGATGTGCTCACCAAGGGGCTATCAGAAGAGAAGTTTGAAAGATTTGTGGGCAAGTTGGACATGGTGAATATATATGATCCAACTTGAGGGGGAGTGTGGTAATTATGAAGATATGATACCTCAATAATATTATTATTACTGATATAGTGATATTCGAATATTATTGCTAGAGATATTATTATTATCATTGGGATCATATCAGATTTGATTTAATTGTATTTATTAAAGATTTGATTGTATAGCTCATATCTTGGTGTATCTCATGCGATCTCCAAGATCAGTGTATATATTGGTGCATATACCTCAGTAATAGATCATCGAACTGTTCAAATCAGCCTTGCTCTACAGGAGTTTTATGAAAAACTCTTGATTTTTCTATAATGGAAATGGATGAGAGAACTGTTGATAACTATCAGCGCAAAACTTAAGAAGATGATCTCGAATATCTTCATATCCTGGTGGTGCTTGTTGGATTTCAAAGAGATTAGAAATTTCAGTATATGCACTAAAGAAATTTTTATATCTAATTCCTTTAGGCAGTACTTGAAGATTCCTAGTATGATAATAAGTATCGAATCCAATAAGAATATCTTTTCCTGCGAGATCACTACCAAGAACTTTCATCCATAGAACACATCCTGGAAAGAATTGAATACCAATCTTCCTTCTAATAATCCATTCAATCTTCAATGTTTTTGAATCATCAGTGAGGAAGGATTGGTCACAAGGTATCCATGCTTCAGAAAGAAGAATATCAGGATTTATGATGGTTCTGCATGCTCCAGTATCAATAAAAGCAATAACAGGAATTGGTTTTTCATCCCTTCCGGGAAGGATATGAATTTTGACATTTGGCTTGGGAGTGACTTTGTTGTGATATGGCTGAGAAGCTAGGGAACCAAGGAAAGACGGATGCACGGGCTGTTCAAGGGAATATAAATACCCTTGAGAATCATCTTCTTGGGATAAGGATTTAGAATCAGTTTCCTCGTCTTCAGAGAAAACAAGAACATATTGTGTTTCTTCATCCTAAGCATCTTGTTCTTCAATGACAGATTCAATATCTTCATCTTCGTTGATCATTAGAACAGTCTGTAAGTGTTCCAGCATCTTTACATCCTTTTTTGTCTTGTTAGGACAATTTTTTGCAAAATGTCCTTTTTTCTTGCATATGTAGCACCTGTCAGATTTCTTTGAATAAGGCCTGCGCTTCTTGAAGTATCTCAGGAAAGGCTTTCTAGATCTTCTCCTGGAGTAAGAACCTTTTGGATATCTGAATCGACGATAATGAGA